GGCACCGACTGGGATTGAACCCAGGCCTGCTAGGGTGAGAGGTAATCACGCTTACCACTACACCACCGGCGCCGCTTATTATTGAATTTCCGATATTCATGATATTTCGGGACTTCCTAGCCGCGAGTTGCAATAGTTTCATGCCCATCTTCAGTTTTCAAAATTTCTGGAATTTCGTGAAGTGCTTGATGTTCAAGAATTTCCATACGAACAATGCCTCCGAAAGATCTGGAACACTTTTAGTTGAGATATAAGAATAAGTTTGTAGTTTTGATCAGAAATGTAGACCTCCCGAAGATCGGGGGTCAAATCAATTGATTCTAAAGCCCAAAACGTTCTTCCCTACATTTGTAGAATCCAGTTTATGGTCATTCCCAATGCTCTACATGATTTTATGATCATATTCCAACACTTGACAAAAATTCTTATTCTGAAATTCATTCTGACAAACAAATGTATATTTTTTTCTCTATATTTGGTTGTTCTTTTTGTTGGTCGTTTCTTTATTAACGTTTGTACGTGACAGATTTTTATATTTTTCCTGTACCATGTAATATAAATGGTAGCTGAATGCCATTGGACCTCGTCACACCAAAATTGTTTGCTTTATTTGTCCATAACATACTGGTAGCAGTTAAATATTTGAACCAGTGTTGTAAGCGGTCACCGTAAGCGACGCATTTTCTGTGATAATCGGCTGCCTTTGCTTCCGAAACAAAACCATCTATCAAAGTACAGTACCAAACTAAAATGTCATATGACAGTCTTTGTCATACGACACTGTCGCCGAAGACCGTCACGTATTTATGTATTTTAGCTTTTCTCATAATAAGAGCTGCTAATGTTGTGCTTGTGTGAATTCTGAAAATAGTAAGCAGTGATGTTCTAGCAATCTCATTTCTGATCAGAAATGGTTTAATTTACACAGAATTGAGGAATAATTTTCTTTTAGCTCGAATGTTGGTCTTCTGTTTGTATTGTGTGAGAGAGTTGACAGTAGAGCATGAGTGTATGAATACATATATACTATCGCGCACGACAACGAAGCGTGTGTAGTAAAAAAACGTCAACCCTTTCAACCCCTAATTTGAATTAAATTTGTTTTTTGTCAAGTCTTTTGTTTTATTTTTAATTAAAAATCTGCTGGAACTCTGCCTCCTGAATCGCATTCGTGGAGCCAAATCAACGTTCACACGCCATAGTCTCCAAGTCACGGCAACTTCTACCTCGATCGGCCGATTGTTCTCCGAAGACTGGTGTTTTACGGCCTAAAACCTCAACATTTTCATTTTACATTAGGAGAGAACTATAGTGGCACACTTCCCCTACCGATTTTTTTTTATTTTTTTGTTGGAAACCAGTTTAGAATCCCCAAATAACAATTTACCATACAAAAACAACAGAACCTATTCTTACAATGCAATAAAATCTATTATGTTGACATGTTATTGTCAAAAACAATGAAAATACAATCGATATTATTGTGACGTACAATAAAATCTATTGCAAATGAGACTTTTACAAAAGAAAGGAGGGTTATCACACTGGCACTGTCAAAACCATCCCAAACACTACTACGCTCCCAAGCAACAATTTTTGTTTTATTTAAGTTTTATAGCAGTTGATATAACCAAATTATAAAACCTTCACTGACAACCACATTGCTTTAACAATCTCCTGAGAACCGCAATACAGCCATGTCATGGCCAATTGGCCCACTTTTAATGCAGTCATTAAAACTTGATATGCGAACTACTTTAGGAGCATAGGATTTATGTCAGTTTTATCACACTCTAGACGTGATTGTTAAAAATGAAAACATAAAACCTCCTCCAGGTCAGAAAGTTTTAACAGCCTTCTAATGACTACCATAAAACTATATTACAACCGCATAAATCGCTCCTGAAGAAGTTGATAAAACATGATACGCAAAACATTTTGACAACTTTGAAGGTTTTAAGTTGGGGTTTTTGGATGATAGTTAATATTGAGAAATATTTTATTGTGGTTTTATTCTTTCGATGTTTGATGTGAAATCATGATCCTTGTCAGTTGGTAATAATGGCTGATATTATTGTACATTGAAAATAAGACGACTTTATTATAATTTTAAACCAATCTGTATATGCTTCACAGCATGCCGTGCAATATTTATGGTGATTATTATACCAAATAGGAGCATAAATTTAGTGCGCCATATGAATACTAAAATATAGGGATATTTTTAATTTGTCTGCATTAGCACCATGCATTAAAGAGTCATTCAAAGATTATCTATTTAGTACAAAACTGTTACTACTGTTGAGAAATAAACAGTCACATATTATTTAATTATACATAGATGTATGAAAGTGTTTTATTGCCTATCAATTAAAGCGTAATTATTCATACTGTGTGAAATTTGTTCATACGGCGACATTTTTTTTCGTTATAACTTGCTACTCCTTAAAAATACCTCAATATAACATATTCTCCTAGATTGGAATTCTATAGCATAACATAAACCTAATGGTTGTATCTTAGCATTTCGTAGTCCAAATTGAGAGCGTTAAGTTATATTTAAGCTATATAACTAGCTTGCTGGTTTTATTCGGTACAGCGAATCAAAACAAAACAAAAACCATGACCACCTGTCAAAAAGTCAACATTCCAAGCGATCCTCCTATTTTCGCTTGTAATCAAGATGTAAGAAATGCTTATTGGATCCACTAAAAGCTTTTTCAATACAAGGTTTAAAGCCGTGATGTCAATACTGGCCATCTCCAAACGGATTTAGTGAAACTGTCGGCGTTGCTTTAAGAAGGGTTCGTGGATCTTTCGGAAGTGTATCGGAAAGCCGCTTGTTCAATATTTTTAATAGCTCCTTCACCGCACTGTGCCTTATGTAGGGATCGTATAACTGTAGTTCCTCCAGCAGTTTCATATTGTCGATCGTCTCATCTTCATCGTGTTCAGAAGCACTGAAGGGGTTTTCATTTCATATATCTGAATAGATTTGTTTTTTATAATGACAAAAAATTTCAGAGTATTTTTTGTTGTAGCAGTATATTTCTTATCTGTGAATCTTAGGCCTCTGATAAAGATGATAGTTGTAATGAAGCTTTAATGAAGGTCTAAGACTGCTTCAAATTTTATATCGGTCATAAAAAGTGTACCATAAAACATAATTGTATGTTTTGTTTTGGTTTTATTCTTCAGTTATAAGTAGTGATGCAGAACCACCTTACAGCTACCGTTAAAACTATGAAGTCTGAGTTTTAATTTAGTAGTCATAAAACAGTTTTATAGACGACTTGACGGCCTGATTTTATGACAAGCACACAAAACCGTAATACAACCATGGGCTGGAAGGGATGCTATGATAAAACAATGATAAAATAAGAATAAATCTTCCAAGCATTTAGATTGTTACTTGGGCTACTACCAATAAGTGCACACTATGATTGAATGCACCAGTTTTAGCACTATAAAATCATGGAATTTTGTCGAAAAACGTATTGTTTCGATTTCATTATTAAAAATGAACATTTTACATCACGTTTCAGCATAAAGATCATCAAAGTTTTACCTGTTTGTTTAAAAATATCGCAAAGCAATATGTACGATTATTAGTCGTGCGACTGTTGAAATATAGTCGCCCAGCGAATATTTCATCCATGTTATCTCATTATTGGTCCCTGGAGCTAGGGCTTATTTACCGTATTTTCAAGCGAAAATAATCGATTTTTTCCTACCTTGTTTCGAAAAATGTCTACTACGTTAGTTTGTCAGTACTATGAAAGTTACACAATTTATCTATCCAGTCGAAAACACTTGAGTACAAGATCAATTCAATAAGAATGGTTCGAAAATTGCCATCTGTGATTTATAAAAATCAAGAAATTAAAATTGTTTATTAAAATATGAGATTGTTTTAATTTTTTAATAAAAAAAGATGTTAAATTATGAAGTGAAATGATGATATCATTAAAATTTATATTAAACGAGAAGTCAAACTATTTTTTTTATTGATCGATTTTCAAAACAAAATAACGTGTTGTTCCCGCTTGGTCTTCAATTGTTCAATTTATTTCAAAATGAGGAATGATTCTAAACGTTTTGTTTGAATCATTTTGAAGATGAACATTTACAAAATATTGAAATTACCACCCTTTTTCAAAGAATATCTGTATGGACTATCGCGGTATAAAATGGTAACGTAAGGTCGCCATTCATCGCTCATGTTCCTTTCACCGCTCGCTGTATCAAATCTTATCAAATATCTAAACCAGCAAACTAGTAGAAACTAACAAATTATTCCAACAAAAATGTTCAACATATTATGTTGAACAATTCAGACGAAACATTTGATAACGGCACAAAAGCTTTTGTATACACCCTTACACGCGAACCGAAGAACGCTCACGTAAACCAACAACATCACCGGGTTTCCCCTTTCCGATAATTGTATTGGTTTGCATGGCCTACTTCGGTTCGCGTCTAAAGAGCATTACAATTTTTTTTACAAAGTTTTTGTGCCGTTATCAAATGTTACGCCTGAATTAGTGTTGCAATAATGATAATAAGTATGCAATGTGCGGTGAAAGTAGCATTAGCGGTGAATAGCGACCTTACATTACTTGCGCTACACCCTTCGACTGATATAGCGTTTTTGGATAATTTAGGAAGCATACCCAAGTAATCACCAAGTCCCTTAATAGCACGATAAGGGCCTTTATTACAATATAAAGCTGGTATACTGCTTAACATTTTTATATTAGCCTTATTTCAGCACTTTTTGCATTAGTAGGCTTGATGGTTACTTGAGTAAGCATCCCTGTTTTTATTGTGTGTCTACTCTTTTTTCTAATCAACCAATATTTGGTGTATACTTTATACTTCTAAATGCACTGTTGTCTGCTTTGTAGAACTTCTAGTTTATCGCTTTACACTGTTTCCGCTTTTCGTTTGTTTTGACCGCATCCACAAATTGTCTAACTCACGTTATTTTCCATTTTCAGAGACGTGTGCACTGAAAGTTTGCTTCTGCTAGGAAAAAAAACACAAGCTTAGTATGAACAACACCTAATCAGTTAACTGTTGTGTATGTTTCACGATTGTTAGTATTGATATATGATGAGTATTCGAGCAAAAATTGAATTTTAATAATTACACGTAGAAGCATCAGGTCAGAACATTGAAATAAAGTTGAAATAGAATAAAGTTTTTTTTTAATTGGATTTAATGTGTTTGATTTATTGAATGTAGCCTGACCAGTTTGAAATGCATACAATAGTGAAGTCGGAGTCATGATATACACACTACGAAAAATACATGTAAATTTCGGTTCCCTGAGACCGACACATGTAAGCAGCCCTTTTAACATAAGAATAAGTTGAGAGAAACGAGGAAATCAATTCAATCAAACGTTCTCTTCACCGAGTTGGTTATCTTTCGGTTTGAGAACACTTAATATTACATGAAATGTTTGTTTACGTTTCATGATTTACGTTAAATATGGATTACGTCTCGTATAAAAGTAATTATTTCTAAGTGTGTAAATTTGATAGTGTGTCATTCAAATATACCGCTCATAAAATTCGAGTAAATTTCTGTGATTCATAGCTAACACGTTGCTAGTGCTATATTTGGCGTAAATTCAAACAATAATTTTTAATTCGTGGCGTTGCTTCAGTCCAGGATGGGAAGCTAGCAGGAAAGCAGTTTTTTTTAAATATTAAGACTTTTGGTGTCTTCGGTGCTGATTTTTTTTTTCGAGAGTTTACCAACTGCAGTTTTAATAGGCTATTATCTCGGTTGGGCTCTCCATGTAATACACAATACTGACAGACGACTCGAATTATAGTACTCACAAGGTCTCTGTAGCTTTTCAGCTAGTATTGAGATTACAAAATCGAGAACATGTAAATGCAAGGTATCAGCCATCAAGAAGAAGTATTGACGGTAACGAAGTCATTTTGAATGTAAACCGGATTCGATCGGTAAACAAGGGCACGCGCCGTGCAAAAAAAACCACACACACAAAATAAAAAGCCATGTAAATTCCGAAATCCACGCAAAACAAAAAGTATAAGAAAAAAAAAATGGAACAATAAAACGCACATAACTCCGAAAATCACAAAAAAAAACGTTAAAAACCACACAACCCGAGCAGGAGAAAATAACTTACGAATACCTAATTCTGATCTGATACCAACCTGACATAAAAGGTAAAATACCAAAAAATTACATGCAAAATTGATGTTTGGATACCAAAAGACTACCTGTTTGGTATTGTTTTTGTAATGAATTTTCTTAATTTGGTAGTGGAATGGTATTGTGAGAGCAATTTTTTTTTTTGGTATTTTACCTCTTAGGCCAGGCTTATCCATACCAGTTTAAGGTATCGAGATCAGTGTCTGTTTTTATCATTTACCATCACACGCAAGGAGTAGCGCTTCAACCCAGTGTCGATGAATTGCGTTTGTTTTGAACATCTTCTTAGTTACGAAACTAGCGAAATGAACAAATGAGTTTATTATACATCAACGAATACGCGTTTGTTGATATTCACCAGTGCTTGATTATCAAACCCAAAATTGTCAAAATCAGAAGTGATCCTCAAAAGCAAAATAATCAACGTAATTTTGCGCAAAATGATTATTTTGAATATTGTCGACCACACTGCCTTAATCATCGATATTATCATCAGTTCAGCTTGAGGCAATAATTTGCCGTCGACTTATGTCTAAAAACCACGTTCTTCAGCGCTATATTTGTTTAAAATGAAAATAATCATTTTGCATTTGATCCTCAATATCATCCCGACCAAGATGAAGACGAATATCAATATTTACAACAACAGAGGCGATAATGAGAATCCAGCCACGAATGAAGAAAAACAAATGTTATTTTTGATACTCAGAGGTTGCCTAGATCAAGGGAATTTGATTATATCAAAATTCAAATTCATGCAGGTAGTTGGTCTATCTGTTAAGGTTTTCTTCATATTCAGCTTAATTGAGTGTAGAAGAAATGATTTTTATCAGCACTGATCGAGATATTGGTTCCTGCTCGAAAAATCCCGAAAATCTCACAAAACAAAATCCGAAAAAACGCCTAAGAACCGAAATCGAACAACAATACGAAAAAAAAAACAAAAAACGAAAAACAACAAATGGATAATGGATAATTAGTGTGCAAACATCAAACGCAAGTGTTATTGACTAGCCAGGTTGTGGTACTACCAACTAAAAATTTACCCTTAAATGCGTGTTCGATGAACAAATTTCCAGGGTTACGTCTGTTTGTCTGTGGTTCTATTTTTAATGAACCGTTTGCAAATCATTCTACATAAATAAAAAAAAACACTAATTTTACAAATAATCAATGCAAATTTCAAATATACACAGCATTAGTTCAAATTATAACTTATTTAGTAAAAACAGGTATGGCAATATAATCTATTTTCAAACATTCTTTCTAATTCATAATATGTTTCGCATATGTTTCTAAGTGGACCCTCGCGTCCTATTTTCAATATCTAATGATTTGGCATGATCATGGTACAAGAGATGTAGAATACATGCTTAAAATGATTGCTATATTCTAGTTCAATGTTGATAAATATTCCAATTTCTTCTACAGATCTGTTTCTTTTTTGGCATTTGGACATGTGTTAGCTTCGTTTGGAGATGAACTACCCAAGTAACAATTTAAAAGCCTTTTGGCTTTCTCTCTGATTTATTGTGGTTTTTTATAACGGCAATAAGCATTATTTTTAGATTAAATACAACATTTAACAGTGCAAAAAATTCTAGATTAGTAGTTCAGCTTTATACTGTTTTAAAACCTTTTAATGTCTGACGAGAAAATCAGAAAGAGTCTGGTAAAACTGTTCAGTACATCAATTGGTATTTGTTTTATTGATAGGACAAAATTCTCCATAAATGTGTTTTATTAAAGCAATTATGAAACCGTTCGGTTTCAAACGGGATCAAAAAGCATATATTGATGCGTTTTGATGTCAATGAAGTGTAACACAAAACCTCCCACTGTTTACAAAAAATACTAAAAAGTGGATTCGCATAGAGACAGAGAAAAACATAATTGAGTGGGGTATTCAAACGCAGAGTCACAAGGAAATGCCAAAGGATAATCGAGTTATAATTCTAGCAATGCTGTCGACGGAATAGAAAAGAAATCCAATTCCAGAACTTTCTGGGAGGGCAGCTCCGACAAAATCGGTCAACAACAACAGAGCAGCTGACTGAGAAGAGCGAAGTGAATGCGGTTTACGAAGCACTGGACGCCGTCAAATTAGACACTTAACATAGCATATTGTCAATGGCAGCCTTCTCCAGTAATAACGTTGCAATGATGATCCGAATAGCATCAGTGCGAAACTGGGATTGCGAAAAACTGCTGACAGGAAACTCATTCGGAAGAAGGAAATCTTTTCGGGAACGATTGAGCTTCCACCTGTTCCAAGTTACGTAGACTCACTTGGTGAGTAACTGCTTCCAATAGATGAATTGCCCTTATCATGAATGTCACGCAACTTGTTGATCCAACGCTGGAGTAGAACATCGTTGCAATGATCGCACAGCAAAACTATCGAAAGATAAATAAATTCTGGCGTTTAACTTTTTCCAGGCAACTTTGCCACCATTAATGCCGTCTTAAAACTAAATGGAATAGGATCAACAAAAAAGGCTTAAGATAAAAACAATTCAGTCTGCAAATTATCTCCATAAATACCGCATTAAAATGTTTTGCATTTGTTAGCGATTTCATGAAAGCAAAACACCTTTTTCACAAATGGCTTATGGAAAATTAATATTTATGCTATCGCCATACTGTTATTATTCCATTTGCTTTTTTACAATCTTCGTTTTTCAAGATGTTTTTTCCTTTAAAACAACTTTATTCCCATCAATTCATCAATGAGCCGTAATAGAAATTACGAAAATCATCAAATGGTCTCGGCTGTGAGCAATAATGATCATAATATAAAACTATATTTTGTTTCCTAAATTAAAAATGATTAGTCAAATCAACATATTCCGAAGGCGGACTTATTTTTTTCGATTTTTCGAAGCACTGGTGCTAAATAGCTTTTATTGTTAGGATTTCAAAAGGTTCTCAATGCATTCGTCATATAACCTTTTTGCAGCAAGTCATTCTTGAATTGTCTCGATAATGCACTCTTTAGAACCTGCTTCAGGGTGGGTCAACTAGACAGATTGTAGTTTTAATGAGGTTTTGGTGGATGTAATAAAGGCAAAGCTATCTTGACCAGGGTTTCATGAATGTTGTTTTTTAGAAGCCCTGTAGTACTTCATAAAACTTTAAATGTTACTTGGGGTAGCCTAGAGACTAAAAATCTCCTTAATAAAGTATTTAAATGTGTTAGCTTCGAAGTTTTTAACCAATTAAGAAATTCTACCAGAATATCAAAATCAAGTGAAAACTAATGAAGGAAAATGAAAAATGACTGACACAATTTTGTTTGAATGACATAATAATTAATTCGATCATTACTAATTTGAGAAGTACTGCTTTGTTGATGAGAAGTTTTCAATGAACCCCCCCGGATCCTTATGTTTAGATATTAGAATTGCTCAGTCTGCGTGAAGCAGCCAATTTAACCAAGGAAGTTCTATTAACAACCAAGAATTAATCGTTTGAAGCTTACTGAAGTGTCACATAGTTGATATTTTCCACTAGCGAAGATTATAATTTTTGATAATATTATAATACAGCCATTCCATAGCAAAACAATATAGTGTTTCTCAGAATTTCGTAAAAAAATGTAGTTTTGTTCCTTATTGCAAAATATTATACCTGTATTTGTTTTAATAGGATAATCATTTTCCGTATTAGGGCGGTCCAAAAATTGATTTTTTTTTTCTTAAATTCATAACTTTCGAACCACTGAGCCGATTTCAAAGATCAAAATATCAAATGAAAGGTAATTGTGCATATTAAATGCGTGTGAAAGGTAATTGTGCGTATTGTCGTTGGAGATGTTCTCAAAACTGCGCAAGTGCAAGCGAAAAACTTTTTCATACAAGTGTTCGTACAAAAAATGATTCGTTTCGAGCTGCGCAATGTGATGTGTTTGTGCCATTTTTATCGAATACACCCTTTACTAAAAGTACTACCACACATTCTAGGACCCCCCTATCCCCTTTAGAAATGATATTTGAATTAATCCTATGCGTACGATTGGTACGACGCCAACGCGTGGAAGTCGAAGTGTGTCAGGTCATTAGGTCGAAGTACGATAGGTCGGATGGATCAATAGGCCGATTTTTTTCATATTGAGGGTTTTTAGCCTTGGCAACACATGTACCAAGGTACTTGAGTTTTGTTTCAAGCAGGAGTTTTTCCTTCTTTTAATGTGATACTCCAAGGAAGCCTTAGCGTGAAACTTCAAGAACATAAATGTCAACTTCCACAAAACGTACAAATATGAAATTGCTACTTCTTAGTTGCAGCGTTATAACAAACAGAGAGTAGCAATTACATTACTGCATGTTTTGTGGAAGTGACATTTGTGCTTTTGAAGTTTCACGCTAAGGTTTTATTAGAGTACATGAGCAGCTCTTTAGAGTGCCAGTGAAGCGAGAGTGCCGGTAGGGCGGAATCGTTGGTAGGACAGGAGCGCTGGTGGGACTGAAACGTCAGTAAGACGTGGAACCACCGAAGGAAGCGCCGGTTGAGCGGGAGGGCCAGAGAGACAGGAGCGCCAGTTAGGAGTAAGCAACATTGGGTGGCAGTAATTCAGTCTAACGTACAAACCGAAAATAGACGACGCTATTTCGAAATCCATGACGGTGGCTATGTTTTTTTAAGATTACACATCGTAGTTGCTACTCCGTTACTGATCAGAACCAGTGAAACACATAGATGGAGCTTGGGATTAGATTTCCACCTTCAATGTACACATTGACTGATTAATTCTACTTATAGATCTGTACCGACGCCGGCCTTGCCTTCACTATCTTTGGATAGAGGAAGGAAGATTAGTTTGACAATCGGTGTTAGAGATCAAGTTTACCTCTGCATCTCCACAAGTGCCGTGAGAAGGATAGTTGTGATAGTGGGTTGGGTTATTTTTAGATCAGTATTCACTGTGGTAAGCGATGCGGTTATTAACGAAAGTGCAAATTTATCAAAGCAGGTAGGACCTTTTGGAATATTCACCTAGAACTGATTGTATCACCCAAATTTTCATCTGCATACAACATCTTCTCGGAGCGCATACTATCGCATAGTCTAGGGATTAGATTAGATCTAGAGTGTCTAAATGTCAAGCATTTTTCAAAACCGTCGAAATAATTAACAAATCCATCAACTACGTACATGCATATACTGCTTCCCCAACACAGTCATCAGATAATCATTTCTAGACGGAACAAGTCGAAGTGGCATTCGCCTCCGAAAGGAAGGATGCAATTGCGTAACCAGAACCACACAAAATGCTCTCCAGAGTTGTAATCTTGTAATCAAACAGCAGGGGTGAAAGTGATTTTGATCGATTCTCTTCACCGACTTTCTGTTTCGTTAATAACTCGTTAATAACTCATTGATACGTAGTTGGTGAACTTCATCTTAGGCTGTGAACCATTTGCCGAGTTAAATTTAATTCGTGGTTAAAAGTGACATTTCGAAAGTTATTTCTTATGTTTGAAAATCCCTGTTTTACCGATCGATCGGTATTCGAACAGAACTCAGCCACGATTGTCAAAATTTTACTGCTTGTCTGTCAGAAATAACCATGCTCGAACAGCAGGGTTAATCAATAACTTTCCATCTGTCAAATTTTAACCAAAAGTTAAAAAATCTGCCAAACGGTTCAGAGTCTTAATAAGTGATTTACTCAGATTAAAGCAAATAGTGGAATAAAGGCGCATCTATCAGTCACAGTGAGTCTTTTTCAGCACTTAATCAGACACCCCGTTTTATTCATCATTTCTCGCGTCACTTTTCAAAACGACCAATGTAACATATCCACCATTTTGAGGAAATCAAATTTGAAGTACGACAGATTATTATTTTAACTGTTTAGAAACAATACATTTTGCAATACTATTTTTAATGTAGTCGTGTATAATAGGGTTGAAAATTCAGTAGAAACGGTAAAATCACAATTTTGCTTTGAATTTCATGCTACAATATAGAAAAAAAACCACATAGGACGTTTTGACTAGTTAAGTTGTACATCGGACATGTTACACTGGACGATTTTTCTCAATGACATAATCAATGAGTGATAGATTGGACGTTTTGTTCTACATGATACTAGACAAGGTTGCAAATACTCATTTCAGCAAAAATAATGTTTTCGGAATAATAAAACCAAAAGATGATATGATGACATGTTTTACTTGTAACTTACAAGAAAAGGTTACAAAGTATGCATTTGAAACATAAAACCTGTAAATTTTGCTTTCTATGAGTAACAATCAGCGAGTGAGTGAGTGAGTGTGTGACAAATCGCTGATTGTGACTCTCATAAAGTGAAATAAACAGGTTTGATATGTCAAACACATTCTTTGCAACCTCTTCTTGTATCCTACCAATTCAAAATATGATCATGGCATCTAATTATTTCATAATTAAAAAAAAAACATTGTTTTAGCTGAAATGAGCAACCTTGATACTAGATTCCCTTTAACAGATTTCAGAGTAGAGTACTTAACTTTAGATTGGCCCCGCCTTTAGAAAATGAGCACCAATCATGTTAGGCAGTCCGAATGACCGAAGTAACAATCATGTACCCATCATTTCAAACTGTACATTGGACAATTTTTGACCTATGATTATTTTAAATAAATGAAAGTAAATTTTGCTGGGTGTTTTTGCATCACATACAAGGATAGAAGAGCAATAGTTTGTATCGCTTAACTCGATTTGTTTACATTTGTTACTTAGGACCTTTTGAAAAGTGACGCGAGATTTATTCGATAGATATGGATATCTGTGGGTCAGATTTTGTTGTTAAGAGGCTTGGTGATTATTGTTGTAGCAACCACAAATACAATTTTGACAGCATTCGGCAACTGGTACCAAAGACTATTTCGTAATTGGTCAAAATCTCCATACATAACAAAAATTGCACAACAATCTAGAATTTCGTCGTTTATCACATCAACGTGATGAATATTTGGGTAAGGGTGACTGCAACAGGCTACTCTTTCTAGCATTGAGCACTGCAATACAATTGTAACAGAGTAAGTTGTTTTGTTCTCTCATACCTCCGTCAGTTTTACCGATGTCAGTCTACCCAAAAGAGTTAGATTGTCCAAAAAAAGTCAAAATCACATTGAGCTACGGTGCATCTATATGTGTTTGACAGGAATAGAGTCCCCTTGGGCAACTTTAAACCTTCATCAATATTTACCTATTTTTACACAGGCTCTTATTTTTGGATTATTATTTGAACTGGAGGATGGAATGCAAGCATTTTGTTTTCCTACAACGAAGTACCTCAATCTAACGCAATACAGTTTTCTGTTAATGTTCGTATAAATAATGCTAAAAATTCCACACGTCGCACAAAAGTAGCACCAGAATGTTGTTTGGTTAGGTAATCGCTTTGAGAGACGACTAGCAACTGAAACTTTTATTTATGTAGTCAAAAATGTCCGAAATTTGGCTGGTCAAACAAGTTGCTTATGTTGCTGAAAATTAACACAGAAGCTCATTTTGACTAGAGAAACAGGAAGACTGGCTAAATTCGAAACGTTTTTGAACAGGTTTATGCAATATAATAAAATTGCAGATATGTACCTACTGCTATTCGGAAAACAAAACACCGAAAGAGAGAGATAGAGTGGAGGGTAATTAATATCTAGTTTATTATCTAAATTCTAACTTAAATCTTAAAATCTCTAAAATGATGCCACATGAACTAATATTAAATCTATTCCATTACAGGATGACGAATGAGGTTAAGCACGCACGTTTGACTAAATAAACAGTGTATGCTGTCGATACTACAAACAGACTGCAAAACTATTAACACTAAGCTTTAGAACGTGCAGGTGTACGTTTACAGCGGATTCGGTTTCATTTCCATGAAATATTTGTGATAGTGCCCACTAAAAATTGCTACTTTACAAACTGGTATAGGTTTCAATCTAAACATAAATGTACTTTCAGTTTCGATGACTTAAGCACGGATACTTGATGATTTTAATGTTCACAAATGGGACGTATTTAGAGTAAGTTTTAAATGTTTTCTTTAGTCGAAGAAGCATCTTTTCACAAGGTTAAGCATTTGACCCCTATTTTGGGAGGTAAGAAAAGAAAAGAAAAGGAAAAAATTGCCAAAAATTAGAAACGGCCTACCATCGGAATCTGAGAAGGGAAATTCAAATGTTATTTGTTATCTGATTTGTTAAATGTAATTTTCATAATCTCAGCATGGTTCTCAAGTTAATACAAATAAATGCATCTCTAAATAAGCGTTGTTGCACTCATCCGAAACAAATCCACACATCTTCATTTTAAAGTGTTTATAGCTCTCTGATAAAAAAAAGTAAGACCTGAATGATGCGATACTTTTTAGTTGAACATCGTTTTAAAATAAAACTTTTGAATTGGCTCAGTCATCTGAACAGAGCTGTAATTTGCGCCTGCGCTGTCTCGAGAAGCGTGCTTTACCGTAGGCCAACAACAGTAAGTTTCATCATATCAGCAAGCTTATCGTACACTGACAAGCTAAATATTTACTGCATGTTCTGTAGAGATTAACGCTGATCGATTCAATTGAAGTCACATTCAGTACTGTTTCGGCAGCAGCAGCAGCAGCAGCAGCAGTAGTTAGTTTCATTCATTTATTTCGTAATCGTTCTAAAAGTTGAGGTAAGTCTTTCATATATGATCTGTTTAAAAGTAGAATTAACTACATTTGAGCGCAGTTGCATCATAAAAATCTAATGGCAATTTAAAAAAAAAATCAAATTAATCAAATTGAAACTTATTCTGATCGAACCATGTACACAAAGAACGCGAACGGCAACTCTTGGTTATCACAATCATGAGCAATATGATAAGGCCACTTGCGATTAACGACGCCGGTGTAAACATACTTAAGAGATGAACTGCAAATTTATATCAACGTTGGACTCTGGACGAAATTAAAATTGCAGATATGGATAGGATAAGAGCAATGCAGACAGTTACTTAGTTTTCTGATGGAATATCGATCTTATTGGTAACATTTCATCCTAACATTGCTGGTTTTAATTCTTCATCGTTTCAATCGCACAGATCCTATGTAGTTTTGTGATATTTAGATACATCGTACTGGAGAAATTTAAGTTTAATTCACAACGTAATTGATTTTAAGCTATAAGTAAGAATTTTCGGGGGATTAAAGGAGGAAATACATCAAATCTCCTCACCCATCTAGTGTGAGCTAGGCAAAGGAGTATACATTTGATTAGTATTGTCGTGTTAATGGTCATACGCTCAATTTCAACTTCTGTTCAATTTTCACACTGCCGTACTTTAACTATCAATCTATCCTTTTCAGAACTTTCTCTAGCTAATAAATTATCACTTTCATGTTGATATTAGTATAAGATGCTATATAGCAATTCCTCCCATCTCTAGAAATCGTTAATTTAACGTAACAAAACCCCTTGATTGACATTTTTGGGTAACGTTAAACGACGAATTAGGTGTGGATAACACTAGTTTGCAGCATATTTGAACTTTGTACGCTGATGGTTATTTCCCATGTAAAATCGTGCGATGAATCCAAAAATGTAGTCAGAAAAAATCTTTAGAAACAATAAATAATGATCAGCAGGCGTTCAAATAATTGATATAGCTTCATTACAGCCGGAGATAGGGTAGAGAACTACTTCGGCCTAATCGCCCATTTTGGGCCTATGGAACAGAAAACTTCAAATAAATCCATGATTTCAGAGTTAACAAGTCAATTATGCGTTTCGTACGATACTTAAGTTAATAAGCTACCGAACGAAGTCAATGAGAACGCGTGATATCAAGGTTTGCACCCATTATTCCCAAAAACAAAAGAGGCGCTCCGACCGAATCAAATTTTATCTTCATCCGATAGGCCGAAGTGAATTCATTGGCGTTTCAATGCGTTAGGCCGAGTTTAGAATCCGTAGGCCGAGTTTGGCGTCAAGAAGCAGTGTTAGACTTTTGACAATATCTCAACGATTGGTTTCTCTTTATCAATTCTTACGATACGTACGGAAAGGTAAATAAATTTGGAAGCTATCAGTAATAATAACATTGCGTATGGTACTAAACTGCGCTAGATTAAGAAAGACTAAATGCGGGTTGTGCTTAATAGGCCGGAAATAGGGTAGTTAACCCTATTTGTGGTTAAGCAAAAAAAAAATTTTTTAAAGTGAAATTTCATTTTTTAACTGTATCTAGAAAACTATCTCCAATGATAACGTTTTTGGATTCAGCACACGATTCTACATAAGAATCATAGTTCAAACATTGAAGTTCATTTTTTACTTTTATTTGTAATCTAGTGTAATCATCGATAGACTGACTTGGTCACTTTTTTCAAGCCATTTACTAAAAATCCTCTTTTTTAAAGTAACTTTTTCTTGTAATCAGTCACTATTTTCAACATTTTTAGCGTGCATTTATGTCAAGATTGATCATTCTTTGCTTTGTGACGTTTAATCGCCGTTCTCTACTCATCTTTCTAAATAAAATTACCTGAGTTTACCAGAACTTTAACGGATAAACTACAGGCTTACAGGGTGCGTGGCGAATTTTTGCAGTAAATGGCATATTTGAGAAAAAATACACCAGTTAGTTATTCTAGCAATGAATTTTGTGCGATTTATTTTCTTTCGCAACATATGGAAGTTGTAAGTAAATTTATTCAAAAAAATTGCCTTCCCTTTCAACGACTGTAGTTAGACGCTTCCGGAAACTGCAGTATGCACGTTTTAAAATATTTCGATCCATAGAAGTAATCACTGCCTTGATTTTAGCTTTTAGCGACTTAAGTGTGGTGTGAGGGGTTCTACTGGTATCTCGTTGGACGACGCCCTATATAAAATAATCCAACGGATTGATATCGGGACTGCTTGGGGGCCAAATTTCTTCCTCCCAAATTTACGAAATATTTTCCGTAAGCCATTTCTGTGCTTTATTAGCAGTATGAGCAGGTGCTCCGTCTTATTACTTTCCAAAGCCTTTTTTTAATATTATACACTGTTCTTTCAGACACATTTACCGACCGAATTATTTCTTTCATGCATACTCCGGCGCGCAACAAAGCGACAACGGCTGACAGATTGCTCTCTTGTTTCGACATCTTTACGTTTACTCAACATTGTTTGTTTAAATCTTACACCTAACAGTAAAAGCTATCCAGTGCTGCCAAATATATCTAAATCATGATGCACAAGCATGAGAAATTACTATTTGAAATTTACTGCAAAAATTCGTCACGCACCCTGTATAATAAGAAAACTATTTTTTAAATGCGTTAAAAATACGTTTTTTGTATATAAAAAACAACAACAATTTATCCAAACGTTTCTAAGACATGACAATCAGTTTTTAAGAAACAGTTTTACAATCAAATCCATTGATTGTTGAAGTTTAACACTTACTTAATTTCTCACTTTAAAAAGTTAAAAAAAAACTTACTTAATTTGAGTAAGTCCAAGATCTAAAATTATTCAATATCTTGAAGTTTCGCATTCCATATGCAAGTGCTAGAATCAAGGCAAAAATATATGATTTAGGGTAGAGAACTACTTCGGCCTAATCGCCTATTTTGGGCCTATCGAGCAGAAAACTTCAAATAAATCCTTGATTTCAGAGTTAACAAGTCAATTGTGCGTTTGGTACAATACTTTAGTTAATAAGCTACGGAACGAAGTCAATGAGAACGCGTGATATGAAAGTTTGCACGCATTATTTCCGAAAATAAAAGAAGCGCTCCGACCGAATCACTTTTTATCTTCATCCGATAGGCCGAAGTGAATTCATTGGCGTTTTAATGGCGTTTCAATGCGTTAGGCCGAGTTTAGAATCTGTAGGCCGAGTTTGACGTCAAGAAGCAGTGTTAGATTTTTGACAATAGCTCAACTATTAGTTTCTCTTTATCAAATCTTTTGGTGCATACGGAAAGGTAAATAAATTTGGAAGCCATCAGAAATAATAACATTCCGTTTGGTGCTAAATTGCGCTAGATTAGGAAAGGCTAAGTGCGGGTTGTGCTTAATAGGCCGGAAACGGGATAATTAACCCTATTTCAAGTTTGTAATTAATTTTATGAAAGATTAGAGATCTTCAATGCAGTCCCATTAACTTCACAACAATTGCAGGTACTTTGTAGAAGTTCTGAGGAATGAAAAGAAATGCAGAGAATTTCAGTGAAGCTCCATAAACAAACTGCGGGATCATAAGGGAAGCTAATACACTGAAAATATGGGGAACTTACTGGAATGTTTAAGAACCTCAAAGCGGTTCTTTTATCATCCGAAAATTTGCAGGAACTTTTATGAAGTTCCCAGAATTTCAGATAACTTCACAGGTGTCAAGCAAACTTGAGAAATATAGGAAACATAAGGGGTATTGTGCACATTTTTAAGAAGTTCTAAGTTCCTCAGAAAAGCTAGATCTAGAGATTTTTGGGGAATTTCAGATCTTAAGAGCAGTTTCCTTAGCTTTAGTCCTGACTTTTGGAGCAGTTTAAAGATCTATAATCGTAAATTAAAAAAAAATGGGATAATTCCATGATGTGCAAAAAAAAAATCGAGAAACCCCAAAGATTTTCCGATTCAGGGATGTACAGAGACCTACAGAGAAGTTATGAAAACTTCAGAAATATTTCAGGAACATCACAGAAGTCCAGAGAATTTCAGGGAAATTTAAAGGTGTTTACGGGAATCCCATTTACTTTCGAGCAGAACTGAGATAATTTAGAGCTTTAGGAAACCTTCGAAAACATCAAGACAGATCTGAGAATCGAAGGGCAGTTCGAATAATTTCTAGAAAATTGTGTAAAACCTAAAAGTAGTTTCGGGAAATTCAAGGAATTTCCGGAAACTCCAGCAAAGCACCAAAAGAATTTCTGGAACACGTTAAAATGTATATGCACATCCGGGAAACGTGAGAGTATTCTAAGGATGTTATATCAAGGAGATTCCATGAACTTAAAAAAATGCGAAAATTTAGCTTAATTGATTAGAAAACATCAACGAAGTTCCATTTCCATTAATTAAAAAAATGCAAGAACTTTTAGCAAACTTCAAGGGACTCCAGAGAATTTTTAATACATTGAGATATTTTTATATGGTTTCATGATATTCAGCGAAGTTCCGAGTACCTCGAGGACGATCAGATAGCTTCAGAATAATTCCATTGACTCAAGCAAATTTGAAACGGCTTACGGAGTTCCGTGGAATTATGGGATATTTCAAGAATTCTATGATTGATTCGAAAACGTCAAAAGCGTCAGGGAATTATGAATATTTATTAGACAATTTGCCGGATAATTAAACAAATTTAGAGAACTTCAGGTAAGCATAGATAATTTCAGGGAAAATTAGTGAGCGTTTATAATGATTATAATATGGAGCCACTATGCTTCTTGATAGCTACAGTACGTCTCAGGATGTCGCTCCATTCATCTCCTGTGCACCCGCTCCACTAGTGAAACCAACTCCACATCACCTTCCTTTGATTGTGACTGTGGAGAGCTAGTTACTTCACGATTTCGACGAAACGCCCGTTGCTGTTTCCTACGATTTTCGAAAAGCAGATTACCGCAGCATCTCAGACTTGCTCTCCAGCTTGGACTGGGAAAACATCCTCGATCATCACGATGTTGAGGTAGCCGCAAG